GAATCTACCTGTCACTAGACCCAACTCTCAATTCATTGCACCACCTAGCCGCCCACTGCAGAGAATTTTGCTGTTGTCATTTTTCAGGCATATCCAACTCTCTGTGACACCATTTGGGGTTTTCTTGGCAAAGATACGGGAGTGGTTTGCCATTTCATTCTCCAGCTCATTTTGCAGGTGAAGAAACTGAGGCAAACAGGGTGAAGTGACTTGCCCAGGGTCATACACTTAGTAAAGTGTCTGAAGCCAGATTTGAACTCGGGAAGACGAATCTTCCTGACCCCAGGCCTGGTGCTTTATCCACTGTACCACCTAGCTGCCCACTGTAGAGAGAGGGGGTGAAAAAGCCAGACCCCTATCCTCATGGAACCTACATTCTGTGGGGGAAGTCACATGTAAGCATATCCCCAAAAGGTTCACTAAGGAGTGCAAAAAAAATTTGCTGAGGCTAAGTAAATATTGTCTACTTAACAGTTTCACTGAAGTCTCCCTCTGGGGAATATTAAAAAAAACAATATATAGGTATGCTCCTCCTGGGGGTTGACCAGATGGCTCTCAGGGATTGTTTATGTTCTAAGCAATGTCTGTTAGGTCTGTTTTTTCCTTTGGCTGGGTTTCTCCTACATCTTTATCTACTAGATTGAAGCAGAAATAAAATGTTTATGAGAATAAATTGGGGCAGGTAGGTGGCACAGTGCCTTGTAGTCAGGAGGACCCGAATTCAAATTTGACCTCAGACACTTGACACTTATTAGCTGTGTGACCCTGGGCAAGTCACTTAACCCTGATTGCCTTAAAAAAAAAAGGAATAAATTAATTGCTGTCATCTAAGGTCCCTTCCAATTCTCAAACCCAGTTATTGGCCTAGAGTAGGTTGAAATACTAAGTCTTGACTCCTCACCTGGATAATCTGGTGTTCGAACAAGGGTCATATAAAACAAATCCTAAACTTAAACAAGGCTTCCTTGCTTGCTACTTGTGAAAAGGGAAGAGTTTCCAGGTGACCTTTGATCCCATTAAGGGGTTTTGAATTTGTAGTCTGGATACTGGGATAAAATTTGATATTGAAGTGATAATATCTAGCAAATACTCTTGAAGATTTTGGTAACATTTATGAGGTCAGGATACCTGGATTTAGAAGTAGAGCATGGAGTATTTCGTTTTCTTTACTTCCCTTTGGATCACCTTTTCTCCTTGAAAGAGTTTTGCTTCATGGCACAGAATTTCAAAGGGCAGGATACCCTGAAAAATAAAGTCACCAGGGCCTCAGTTTCTTTATTTGTTAAAAAAGAAAAGGGGAGGGGAGGTTGGGAATATCTGATCTGTGTGGTCCTTTCTAGTTCCAAATACATAATCCCTCACTCAAAATTGTCCATCAGAAGGTGTCAGATACAAAAACCATTACTTTCCTTCTTAGTAGATGATGCAGAACCAGTGGCAGGAGAATTCTGTCAGCAGATATTGGATGTCTTTTAATTGAGATACTTCTTGCACAATCCTGCTCACACAGTGCCAGTCTTAGCATTTCTGAGTTTTGTTTCTTTCATGGGATCACCGGCATTCTGTAGCCTTGTCCTTGTAGAGTAATATGCACGTGTAGTCTGGGGACCTCTCCTCTTGTTCTCTGAGTAGTGGCAGGGACCCTTGGTAGGTGATGTAACCAGTCAAACAACTACATGAGAGTCATTATTCACCTTAGCAACTTTTGAACCATGAAAGTAGGTTTTTCTCTAATAACAAGTTTGGGAGAAAATGATCTAAAATAAAATACTGTGTTCTGTCTGTCTGTTTTGGACTGGTGATTTTACCAGTGTAGGGAATTCCTGGTGAGAAAACCCCCTTTAAAATCTGGATCTATAACTGCTCTGCAACAGAGAATTAACCTCCTAACTGAGAGGTTAAAATCCTTGCTCAGAGTCTCACAGCCAATATGTGCCTGAGGTGGGGCTTGAACTTGGGTCTTCCTGACCAAGAAGCCAGCTATCTCTTTGCATTACACCCCCTCTCTTTATAATAATGGTATGGTATCATATAACATATCATAATAACTGGCATATATATAGGATTATAGAACTCCTTATACATGCTCTCATTTTGAATTTCTCAATAATTCTGTGTAGTAGCTATTATAGATACTGTTATCCCTGTCTTACAGATGAGGAAACTGAGACCCAGATAAGTTAAACAAATTGCCCATGATCACACAGCCAGTGTCAGAGTTAGGATGTGAATTCAGTTCTAGTCTGACTCCATGTCTAGCTACTACTAAGGAGCCCAGTTCTTTTGTGACTCTGTGTCTACAGTTATCCCTTCCACATGATGACCTTTCCCATTATGGGTTTCAATATATTGCGAGTCAGCATAAGAAGTTAAATGGAAATTTGGGGGGAGTTTTGCAGTAGCTGCAGATGATGTGCAAAGGCCAGCAGATGACACAGAAAAAGTTTAGAAATTCAGAAAGCAGAATTGTTATTAAAAAGGCATTCTGGTAGACTCTGGTATCACAAGAAAAGTCTAAGTCCTTATGATTTCCTAAAGGAAAATGAAGCTGTGAAGGGTCTGCCTCTATGGATTTTACATGGAAGGGATAACTGTAATTCTCTTACCACTTGTCCTGTTCCACTGCCCTACTGTGGCATGGAGATGACCCTGGGTGTGAAGACCAACACTGTGGAGTACAAATTGATAGGCTCTGCCATATTAGAAAGGCTTCAAGTGTGGTTCTAGCAACACCTGGCTAAGGTCTAGCTTCAACTAAGTCAATAGGTAATGTCTCACCAGAAGGCTGGCCACTTGGTAGTGAATTCTTTAGCTATGGTATCCCATGTATGAAACAAATATGAGATAAAATGGGATGTCATGGAAAGAAAACTTAATATAGTTGAAAGAGCACGAAATTTGAAGTCAAAAGCTCTAGCAAGCACTTAGTAGCTGTATAGCCTGCCCTGGTGTTCTCTATGTCTCCATCTCTATCTCTCTGCCTCTGTCTGTCTCTCTATCTTATCAAGTATTGGTCTAGGTCTATCAGGAAACATTTATTAAGCACCTGCTATATGCCAGGCACTGTACTAAGTGCTTGGGATACAAAAAGAGGCAAAAGAGTCCCTGCCCTCAAGGAGCTCATAGTCTAATTCACTCAGCATAGGGCCTGGAGGCGTGGGAGGCACTTAATAAATATTGATTGATTGATTGATTGATTAAAGGGGGAGACAATAAGCAAACAAATGTGTGTGTGGATAAGCTACATACAAAAAAATAAGAAATCATTAAAAGAGGGGAGGAACTAGAATTAAGAGAGTTTGGGAAAGGCCCCCTTGAGAAGATGAGATCTTAGTTGAGAGTTGAAGGAAGAGAAGAAAGCTAGGAGGTGCAGATGAGGGAGAGCATTCTAGGCATGGAACTAAAGAAAATGCCCAGAGTCAAGAGATAGAGTGTCTTGTTTGTAGAAGAACAAGGAGGCCAGTGTCACTCAATTGAAATGTGCGGTAGAGAGTATGGTATAAGAAGAGTGGAAAGGTGGAGGAGGGCTAAGTTATGACAGGCTTAGAATGACAAACAGAGGATTTTGTATTTGATCCTGGAGGTGATAGGGAGCCCTTAAAGTGTATTAAACAGGGGAGTGACACAGTCAGACCTTTGTTTAGGAAAGCCATTTTGATGGCTGATTGGAGGATGGATTAGAGTGGGAAGAGATTTCAGGCAGGCAGACCCACCAGCAGGCTGTTGCAATAGACTAAATGTGAGGTGATGAAAGCCTGTACCAGCGTGGTGGCCGTATCCAAGGAGAGAAGGGGGTATATCCAAGACATGTTGCAGACGTCAAATCAATAGGCCTTGGCAACATATCCAGCATGGGGGGCATGAGAGAGTGAGGAGTCAAGGATAAGATTGTAAGCCTGAGTGATTAGAGTGCTACCACCACCACCACCAGCACCACTGTTACTACCACAACAGTCACCACCACCATCATTACAACTACTGTTACCATCGCTACCACTACAGCCACCACCACACACCACTACATCACCACTGCCATTGCAACTACTACCATCACCACTATCACTACCACCATCACCAGAACTACCACCACCACCAGCACCACTGTTACTACCACGACAGTCACCGCCACCATCATTACAACTACTGTTACCATCGCTACCACTACAGCCACCACCACACACCACTACATCACCACTGCCATTGCAACTACTACCATCACCACTATCACTACCACCATCACCAGAACTACCACCACCACCACCAGCACCACTGTTTCCACTACGACAATCACCACCACCATCATTACAACTACTGTTACCATCGCTACCACTACAGCCACCACCACACACCACTACATCACCACTGCCATTGCAACTACTACCAGCATCACTATCACTGCTACCACCACCACTACCACTGCTACCACAACCACCATCACCAGAACTACCACTACCACCACCACCACTACACTTACTACTACTACTAATAATAATAATAATAGCTTTATAATGCTTTAATGCAAAGTGCTTTACAAGTATTATCAGATTTTATCCTTACAACAACCCTGCAAGGTAGATGCTATTGTTATTCTAATTTTACACATGAAGAAACTTAGACTGAGAAGAGTTAAATGACTAGACCCAGGTAACACAGGTAGTGGGTGTCTGAGCTAGATTTAAACTCAGGTCTTCCTGATTTCAAGTGTAGCATCCTATTCACAATACCACCTAGCTGCCAATAAAACCACAGGTTCAGTCCCTATCTTTGTACATTATTAAATGATTGCTTTTGAAGTATCCTTTGCTTTTTTAACTGCTACCTTTGGCTTTTAGATTGGTATCATATCCTAAAGACAAGATACCATTATGTCTGCATAGTATTGTAACCAAGTCTCCCCCCACTCCTCCAGCTCCATTGATTAATTTAGAACGTAAATAATGCAGAAACAATTTCTATTGTTTTAAAATATCCTTTCCTTAATAATGTCTTCTTAATTACAGAGCAAAGAGATTGCATTCCAGCTTCATGAGGATTTAATGAAAGTTCTTAATGAGCTATATACGGTAAGCATGTTAATTTTGCTTCTGTTACAAGAACTGTTTGGTTGCGAATCCTTGTTTGCGTAAGCCTGTCTCATGTCAGAATTTATTCTAAATCAGACTAATGATGCATGTTTGCCTGGTGGAATATGCATGCTAAGCTAGTGGAAAGAGATGTTGACGATATTTGCTTCCTACCCCTTGCATGTATATGGTAAGAACTGTTTGTTAAATACCGTACTTCCTTTTTTAAACCATACCCAACTTAAATGGGCCGTTTCCAAGATTACAACAATTTGGAGTTCTCTTGACGCTTTCGGATTTTTCCCATCCCCGTTTCAAATAAATTAACTGTTTTGCTAATGACTTAATAAGCTTTATTTTCAGCTCCTTCCTTTCTTTCCTCTCACTTCAGTAGTTTTGAATGGAAGGCAGAAACCAGTACTTTAGTTTTATTCAGAGTACTGTGCGTAAGGAAATTAAATTTTTAATAAAAAATATTTTATTCAAGCATAAGCAAAAATCTTATAAAGAGAAATTTGGAATACAAAGTAAGCTTTATACCCATGTTTTTTTAAATAGCAGTATACATTTTAAAGTTTGAAGATTCTCTCATATTATCACTCAATTCAAACTCTTTCTGGAATCATAGAAGCCTAGATTTTCCTAGGTCCTTAACTTCAGTGTTATCCTTAAATCCTTCCTCTTCCTCAGCCTTTATTTAAACAGTTGACAAACCTTGTCATTTCTGCCTTGATGATAAAATATAAATTTCTCTGTTTGACTTTTGAAGCCCTTCACTTTTCCTTGGCTTTAAAGCCTTTCACTTGGCCCCAACCTATCCTTCCAGTCTCATTATTTTTCCTGAATTTTGTCGTCCAGGCTAACAGACCCTTTTTCTCCATTCCTCACAAGTGGCACTAGCTACCATTCTGGTACCTTCGTACTGTCCCCTGACCCTGAAATGCATCACACTTACCCTCCCTTCAATACACAAGTCAACTGCCATCTTCTATATGAAGCCCTTAAAAGCTAGTGCCTACCTTCTCCAATTAACTTTGTATTTATTTTGTATATATTCTTTGCATATTTATGCATGTACATGTTGAATTAACCAATGGAATATAAACCCCTTGAAACCAATCCCTACTTAATGTTTGCAGAAGGAGGGAATTGTGATATTTTTCCTTATGCTTTGTTACGTATGTTTCCTTTACTATGTGATCTCATTGAATTGTTGTGATCTCATTGAAGTGGGTGTTCCCACAAAGGAGCAGATTAGAACTGATCCATGCCTTCTCATCCTGGACTGTTGTCACTGTCCTCCACTTGCTTTATAGCTTTTTTTTTTTTGGTCTTTCTATCCTTAATGCCTAGCTCTACTTGGTACATTGTAGGCACTTAATACGAGCTTGTTGATTGATTGATTGATTAAATTTGAAGAACCCTTAGCACTTGTTCAAGTTCCTGCATGCTGGTTGCATGTAACTTACAAGTGCCTATCTGGCCTTTACTTGAATACTTCAGTGTCAAAGAGCTTGGCATATTAAAAGTTGTATTTTTAAACAGTTCTGATTGTTAGGAAGTTCTTCCTTGATATTAAAGCTGTTTCCTTATAATTTCACAGTTTTCTCTGGAGCCACACAAAATGAATCTGGTACCTCTTTCATGTGTCTCTCTTGTAAGGACTGTCTTCCGATTTCCAGGTTAACCATCTCCAATTCATTCCATTGATTCTTAAGAAATAGTCTCAGGTCTCTTCACCTAGTAATCTCCCCCTTCACAAATCCTCCTTCACAAATTGGTGAATATCCTTCTTTGATTTTTATCAATTATATTTTAAAAGAGATAACTATGGAATATAAAATCAGCTATTTTTAGTTATGGTAATATGCATTCGTATAGCCCATAATTATGTAGGATTATTCTTTCCAGGTAAACCTGTTTGAAAAACATATAATTGAAATATAACCACTCCTTACTAAATCCTGAAATTCCAAGGAAATTTTTTGGGTAAATAAAATTTTTGGAAATTGGATCATTTTGATGAATTAAGTGCATTTGCTCTTTAAAGGAATCCTGGGATCAAATTTTTTGTAAAACAAAAAAGACTGTGGTAAAATGAGCAGTCACTCTCATTCCACTTCCTGTTCATGCAGATCTGGATTTTCATTTAAAAGATTTGCTTAAAGCATAATATACCTGTATTTTAAAATAAGCATTTTTCAGAATTCTTACTTATTTGTTCATCCTCAGGAGAAGCTAGGCCTTCTTATGGTGTCATGATGAAGACCATTAAAAATATTATTTGTTATGGTCCTGCCTGCCTTGGAAAGTTATATTTATTCCTAATCAGAAGTAATGAAGTTGAAAGTTGGCTAATTAGTACTGTAGGGCTTTATTTCTATGGTTTATTTATTTCTGATTACCTAAGATCTCAGCAATTTCCTGAAACCTTCATTTTAACTTTAATTAAATGTGTGATGGGAATTTTAAATGGCTGAATATAAATAAATGAAATAGCTAAAATCCCTACTTAATGTTTGCAGAAGGAGGGAATTGTGATATTTTTCCTTATGCTTTGTGACGTATGCTTCCTTTACTCTGCGATCTCATTGAGTTGTGATCTCATTGAAGTGGGTGCTGCCACAAAGGAGCAGATTAGAACCGATCCACGCCTTCTCAACTGTTGTCACTGTCCTGCACTTGCTTTATAGCTTCGTTCATTTGATAAGTCTAGGCTAGCAGAATTGAGAGGGACATCAGATGCGACACATCCAAGGAATCCCTTCTATAGACTAATCAAATAGATGTCCAGATTTCACTTAAAACTTCTGGTGATCTGGAAACCACTTCTTCCTAAGGTAGGCAATAATACCTTTGGACTGCTCTACTTGTGAGAAGTTTTTCCATATATTAAGACTAAATGTGCTTTTCAAAAACTTCCAGACAGTATTTCTAGTTCTGCCTTGAGGGCCAAGTGGACTAAGTCTAATCCCTCTTCCATGTGACAGCCTTTCAAATACATGGAGAAAGTTCTATCATCATACTTAGTAACTGATAGTAATAGCTAATAGATAGATAGATATACACACGGCCTTGGGGCAGCTTGGTGGCACAGTGGATAGAATACCGTGCCTGGGGTCAGGAAGTCTCATCTTTCTGAGTTCAAATCTGGCCTCAGGCACTTAATAGCTGTGTGACCCTGGGCAAGTCACTTAACCCTGTTTACCTCAGTTTCCTTTTCTGTAAAATGAGCTGGAGAAGGAAATAGCCAGGATTTTTGCCAAGAAAACCCCAAATCAGGTCACGAAGAGTAAACGTGATTGAAATGACTCAACAACAACAATATATAGTGCCTGAAGGTTTGCAAAGTTACTTTACAAATATTATCTCATTTCATCTTCGCAATAATGCTGGAAGGTAGGTGCTATTATTGAGACAGATAGGTTAATTGACTTCTCAGGGTCTTGCAGCTAGTAAATGTCTAGATTTGAACTCAGTTCTTTCTGACTCCAGACTCTATCCACTGTGCCATGTAGCTCCCATAAATCTCCTTCAACTAATCTTAATATAATTCATTATCCAGTCCTCTTACCATTGTAACCACCTCCTAATCCCATCCTTTGATTGTATTACAGTTTGTCATTGCCACCCCAAAATGTAGTGGCCAAGACTAAACACTGCACATATGGTCTAGCCTGGGATAGAGTGCAGTGAGAAAATTATACTCCTCGTCCTTCGGAATATTGGCCTCTATTAATGAAGCCCAAGATGGCGTGTGAGCTTTTTGACCGCCAAGTCACACTGCTGAGCTTTCTAAATCTTTTTTTACATAAACCAATATCTATCCACATCTTCTTCCTTCCCTAACTATAGGGTGTAGGGTTACTGTGGTTTTGTTTTTCTTAAGCCCATGTGTAGGTCTTGACATTTATCTGTAATCAGTTATGCCCAATTGTATTTGACCTGTCATTCTAAACTTTCGTTATCATTTTGGGATCCTGATTCAGTCATCCATTATGTCAGCTGTCTCTCTCACATCCATGTCATTTACAGGTTCAAAAAGTGCCATTTTTGCCTTCATCCAAGGCAGTGATAAAAATGCTAAATAACACAGCTCCCCGGAGCATTACTCTAGACATTTGCTTCCAAAATGGCATTGACCCATTAATGACTACTCTTTGGGTCTTCTCATTCAGCCATTTTTGAACCCACCCGCTGTACTTTCGTCTAATCAGCATCTCACTATATCGTCTACAAGGATACCATGCAAGATTTTTTCCAAGGGCTTTTCTGAAGTCTGGGTATACTACAGCTGTAACATTCTCCTTAATGTCCTCGTCTAGTAATTCACATCGGGAAAAGTAATGAGCTTAGTATGGCCTGTTCTTGATGAAGCTATGCTGGCTCTTAGTAACTAGTAATCCTGCCTTTTCTCTCTAAATGCTCATCTTTTCAATAATTAAATAATTAATTTTGTTGATTTATGAATAATTAGTTAATAATTAAACACCGTCTTTTTAGTAATAAGTTCTAGAAATTTGCCGGGAATCAAGTCAATCTAGTTAGCTCATAGGTTGCCTGTTCCACCTTTCCCTTCCTCACCAGGACCCATTTGAAAATCAAGACAATACTGGCCCTTCTTCAGTTCTGCCACATTTCACCTTACCCTCACAGATTTTCAGGCATTACTGTGATCTCACTACTCATAGCCTCTGTTCCTGTGGTTAGTTTGGACTTAGTGGTCTAAGCACATCGAAGGCCTTACCATCACTTCACTTGTGTCAGGCCTGTGTCCTTCCCAGTCTGAAGGTTATTCTCTTTGTCAAAGAAAACAAAAACAAAATAAGAGATAAGTAGTTTTGCTTTCTCTGAATTATGGTACCATGGATAGCGTGCTTGATCAGCAGAAGGAAGACCTGGATCTGGATCTTCTCTCAGACATTTTTAGTAGCTGCGTTAACCCTGGGCAAGTCATTTATCCTGCCTGAGCCCTGGTGTCATCATCTGAAAAATAATAC